ATTGACAAACCCAGGATCACTTCTACAAAGAGACGGTAACCACAAAATAAACACAATATAAACAATATGATAATAAACGTAGTTGGATACTATTGTCTTTTTTGTATTTGCTAGATAAACAAGGGCTAGAAGGGTTTCATCGCTAAGCTAAGGCATGCCTGCTAGATAACCAGAATGAATAAGTGAGCAATGATATTAATGCTATGCAAGGACATGGCCATCTTCCATCCCACATCATCTTGACGACCACCAGTGGCATGGATCCCATTCTCTGAGCAATGCATACAGTGATTGTGCAACTTTCTCTTTCGCCATCTGAATTTATCTGCTTTGTTTCACATGACTGTACTTAATTTTTGCTAAATCATTCACCAGTTAAACACAATCAACCATGTCAAAGGGATTGTGTTGGGTGATATTTGTTGGGGGTGGTTGTAAAGCGCCCCCCCCCCACTACTAAGACTAGTAGTTACTCTTGAGTATTTATATGGACAATAACACAATGTGCAAACAAACAAAGGAGAAGTGCCTGCTCCAGTTTTATATTTATTATTAGGTTTAAGCTTATTTAGGTAGTTCAAGTCAAATACAAAGAAATGACATCATATCAGCATATCGATTGAACTTTTTCACAGTTAAAATGAGGTAATCTGGCTTTACAATGTTTTAGTTTGAATTAAGCAGTATAATCCAGGTTACAAGACAGGAGAGGGAGATATTTGAACAATTATTTCCTAGGGGAGAAAAGCCATGTGAAATGTGTATGAATAAGATAATTAGGCCACAAAATACATTTCGGAGTATCAAGCAGCATATATGTAAAATTTTAATTCTAACCTTAAAACTGGTATAATTTACTATTATTATTTTGCACAATTTAGCTAATGGCATGCACTGTAATATAAAACAAGCATAGAGGACAAAATATAATATCTAATAGAACATTTTCAGATTCATGTATCATCTGAATTGACCAGGCTTATTTTCACTATGACAATCTCTGTACAGTAGTCCAACCTTATGCAAGGTTTTGCTTTCCATGGTTTCAGTTACCCGTGGTCAGCAGCAGTCCAAATAAATTAAATGTAAAATCCCAGATATAAACAATTCATAAGTTTTAAATTGCACAGTTCTAAGTAGCGTGATGAAATATCAAGCCATCCTGTCCAGGATATGATTTACCCCTTTGTCCAGTGTCTCCATACTGTCCACGCTACTTGCCTATCAGTTACTTAGTAGCCTAAGTTTTCAGATTGACTGTCGCAGTATTGCAGTGCTTGTGTTCAAGTTACCCTTATTTTACTTAATAATGGCCCCAAAGTGTAAGAGTAGTCATGCTGGCAATTCTGATATGCCAAAGAGAAGCCACAAAATGCTTCCTTTAAGTGAAAATGAATGTATGTGTAGGAAAAAAACACAGCATATATAGTTCATTACTATCCATGGTTTCAGGTATCCACTGGGGATCTTAGAACATATCCTCTGTGGATAAGGGTGTGTGTGTGGGGGGGCTACTGTATTTTTAAAATGCTGATCAGTGAGGTTAAGTATTACAGTTGGCATATATACTATATATATGCATACACAATACAATAATGCAAACACAATCTATATGTAATACTTATTAATTGGTGTATAAATTAGTAAGTATAATAGCAGCAAGGTACCACTATCTCTAGACTATGTACTAAGATTTATCATATTGATATTACAGATTTATGACTAAAGTCATTAGTGTTATAAACTAATAACAAATGTAAAACTGCAAATGTTCAAAGCTGCCAAAGGCCTATTTGACTTTTCAAAGTGCTGTGCTTCTCGTTGGGCTCATAGCTTGGGGGCAAGCCCCTGATATCTGAATAAAGTACTGGCCCCAAGTTCTGGGCTCCAATCAGGGACAGTTCTAGTAATTGAGTGGAAGCAGGGAGGGGAGCTGGATAATGCATCTGAGAAGAGTAAGGAGCTAAAACCACTGCGATAAGAGTGTGTTTGGACATCGTTGAGTGTATGTGCCTTTTACTGTAAGTTTTGCCAGCATGCTGCAATTCACAATAATCAGCAGGTGACAGAGGATGGCCAGGAAACAAGAGGAGAAAGTGGTATTCTTTGAAGGAGATAGAAAATGGCTCTAGACCATTGATGGAGTTGTCTTAATAGACTATAGGATTGAATTCCCAATGAAGAGAACAAAAACATTTCATCCAAATGATGTGGCTTAGCAATGAATTTAGAAAGCCCTAAGAATAAGATTTGTTGGAGAAAAGACTAGAACACTATGTCCACTGCAGATAGAAGGAGTTATCTTAGAGTGCTTCCAGTGTCTAAGAATGTGCTAGTTCAACACCATGGCATCATGTGCTGCGTTCTCTGGGTTAGGGCCAACCCAGTGACATAATATCCTTAGCATCATTATTTCTAGAAGGAAGCTGGGGAACCTTGGGGCAGTAAAGAGCTGTTTAGCATCGATTGGAACTAAGGGTAAAGCTTCCAGTTAATTCACTTATCACCCAACTGATCCACTCCCGTGTGTCCCAAGACAACATGTGTGAGTGACAAAGCCATGGCAGCAAATAGCAGGAAGCAGTCTGAGGCAGAGGGCCAATATGTACCGGAAAGTTAGTGGAATTTGGAGGGACAGCCATGTTCTATGCCATACAAACCAAACTTCTTTCACTGTGGAGTTTGCTGTTCGCATTTCTATACACCTCCTCCTGGCATACCAGAACTACTTGGTGTGCACTGGGGAAAGCCCAACTCTCAGGTGTTCACATACACATCGGCAGATTTCTTTCAACTCCGCTCATCTCACTGTTCACATCACTAAAGGCGCCGTTGTTAGACAATTTCCATCTAACAGTGGAGCCTTTGAGAAATAACCCCAGTAGCATTTCTCCACATACGCACACAAAGAAGAATCACAACTGTACACCTGCTTAATATATAGCATTTAACTTCATCATTAGAGACCTGACGCTTTGGGGAGCTGCTTGACCAAGATTTGCAAAACAGCACCAAAGTAGCAGGCTGGCATCTTTATTCCAGATGGAAGAACAAGGCAGATTTAGCTCAGGATCACTTCCTTGCTGAGGCCGGGGAGGGGGGCCTCATGCCTGTGCCCCATTCATTAGCCCGCTCTGTTTCCCAGAACCTAACAGTAAACATCTGCAGTCAGCCAAGAGAGAACGTGACAAAACTTCAACTGCAGCATGAACTAACTCTGTCAGATGGTCTGGATTTGCACAGCCCTTTTGCTTCCCAGGAAAACAGGTGGTTTCATTGCAGTCTTCATTCCGTCTCCACCTTTAGCTTTGCATTAAGCCTTTGAGTTGGGTTGCCACAATGTCTCGATGGGGAGCACTTTCTTATGGTAAGATTCAGAAAAACAGAAATAGAAAATACTGTTTCACCACAAAACTGCATTTAACTCTGGAGTGTTCCACCACATAGTCTTCTTGAACAGAAACACAAACTTTGTGAAGATGAGGAGATGAAAGAAAACTAGGATTCTGAAGATCGATCATTACTGGGACCTGAATCTTGTGCTTTTCTTTGAGTTTATAGAAAATCCTGCTTTAAACTGTGACTTAATGGTTCTCAAGAATACAGGGGTCTGGGCTCAGCACTAAGGAAAGTAACTAAATTTAACTACTAGAGAGTCTGATACAGAAAGTAGATGATATTTTTTGGCTTGACCCTTTAGATCTGCCATTAAATTACAATTTTAATTTTAGATCATTTCTCATTTCACCCGTTCTATCTTGACTTCTCTCTCCAAACCTAAGAATATTTTCTGTACCCATGAAACCACCGCAGCACCTCTAATAGGCTCCAAGCTCAAGCCTTTCAACTCTGCTGTAATCTAACTGAAACCTGTAATGGTCCCCTGGGCCACGTGGCAAATGGTCCAGGGAGCTCATAAAAAATTGAGTCTACTTTTCAGGATAACCATGGCCCTGAATCCTAACATCCTCTTTTGGATCAATCAAGTAGCTTTTTAGCTGACCTTGAAGTTAATTCTGAGTACTAGTAAATAAGATAAACTTATCTGATCAGAAAGATCCCCAGAGCTTGTGAGAATAAGTGATATGGTCGGGTCACCATTTTTATTGGTGGCAGAGGCAGAATGAGTCACAGAACTCAAGTCTGTCCCACCACCGAGTCTCCTGCTTGGCCTTCTGTCAAGGAGCAGAATGCACACACCCCTTATCATACATGGAGCAACTCCTTGTTGGGGCAGACATTTTGCTAATTCAAGGGTGTTTATCAAGGGCGAACTGTACATAATCCTCCTCCAATCTCCCAGAACTCCTGCACAGGATTTCAAAATGCAAGACAGGCTGCCACCCACAGCAGCGCGAAGGAGTGAGCCCCTGCACTCGCCATGCAGAGCGGGACTCCATGCACACGCCCTCGGTACTGCGGGCTGTGCTCTTTGTCATGCTCGGTGACTTTTCTCTCAGCATGCAAACACTGCGGTGCAGTTAAACGGTACAGCCCAAGTGCAACTATATATTTTAAAACTAAAGGA